AATGCAAACCCGATCCAAAGCTGGTACCTTCTGTCCCAAACAAATCCTAAATCTCAACACCTCTGCAACCATTTCCCCCTTACCACCAACTTACCGTAGTGCTCTCAAGGATCCAAACTGGCATGCTGCTATGTGTGATGAATACAATGCCAACAAAAGTCACAATGTCAAAGACGATAATGCATACTAACAAACATGTCATTGCATAATGCCAAATATATTATTGCGTAATGCCAAACATGTCAATATAAAAAGTCAAAAAGAAAGTGAAATGTCAAGATTGTCAACACACAATGTCAAGTTTCTTATCACTATCACCAAATTTTGCTGAAATTGCGAGCAAAATTTTATACACAACTAATAGAAAAACAATCAAACAAAAAATTAAAAGAAAAACAATCAAATACAAAAATGAAAAGAAAAAACATAACCAAAACCAATGCCAAATGAAGATGCAATTTTCCGGAGAAAAAAGGATGAATGCAATTAGTTGGAAGTATTTCTTACTTCTACGAGGCAGTCTCAATTATAGGGCATTTGGAGGCTAATTAAAAATCAAAGTCATAGTCATCGCGACTGGCGACAATCTCAGCTCTAATGGATATAGGTGGTACGATAGATCTGGAAGGGGGAGAGATAGAGGCGGTGCTCCGAGGCGAATCTACATGGGATGCTTTGTGACAGATCTGCAAAGGGGGAAGCTGGTGCAGCGGCACTGCAAGGAGTGGGGCGACGGTGATGTACTGCACTTGGGGTAGATTTGACGGAGGCAACGCTTCTGTTAGACAATAATACTAATAGTACTTCTAGTAGTATTGGTTATGGTAGTGTTTCATTATTAGTCAGCTTCCTAATCATATTTGTGGTAGATATTGTAAGTTAGTTAGTTTCCATTCTCTATTCCTAGTTGTGTTAGGAGTCTCTCCTATATAAACTCTATCATGTACTTCATAATTCAATGAGCAATATTAATTTTCTAATATTCCAACATGGTATCAGAGCCACCGCTCTTGGTGACCTAAAAGAGTTCTTTGCTTCCGTCGCCGCCACCTGTAATTCCGGCGACGGCGGCTCCACCTTATTCACATCTATTTTTTTTCTTTCTTTTATCCTCAAATTAACTTCTCCATTCAAAAAAAAGAAAAAAAATTCCCGTGTTGAAATCACAAAAAAAAGCCGTCAAAGGAGGAGCTTCCCTCTTGCCATCTCCATGGTTCTTAAAAAAAAACCCAAACTCCTCACAAACTCTCTCGATCAACTCATCTTATCTTCTCCAAAAAAAAAGAAAAAAAATGATTGTTGTTTCTCTACAATTCACCATCACCAATTCTTAACCCACTTTCTTCCCTCCCAAATCACTCGTTCTAATCATCAATCTCCCTTCTCTTTCTCTTCTGTTGAACCAATAAAATCCAAAGTAAATTAGCACAAAAGCAAAGCCAAGAGGGGAAGTAGAGGAAAGAATACCTCTACAACACACCCCTTCAAGAAAGAAACGGGGTATTGCCCGGATCCAAGAAAAAGACAAAGAATGTCAAGGATCTTCAATCAAACAAACACCTCCAATAGCCTTCTCTCTTTTTCATCGACGTCAGAAGCTACCAGCGCATGTCAATTTCTCTTTTCTCCAACGACGTTAGCAGCTACTAGTGCACGTCAGACTTCTCTCTTCTCTAACGACGTCAGCAGCCAGCGGCGCACGTCAGACTTCTCTCTTCTTCAACGACGTCAGCAGCTACCGGCACATGTCAGACTTCTCTCTTCTTAAAGTTTCCAGTTTCCAGCTAGTGTCCAAGCTTTCTCTTGCTTCAGCTAGAGTTCAGCTTGAGGGGGGATGTTAGACAATAATACTAATAGTACTTCTAGTAGTATTGGTTTTGGTAGTGTTTCATTATTAGTCAGCTTCCTAATCATATTTGTGGTAGATATTGTAAGTTAGTTAGTTTCCATTCTCTATTCCTAGTTGTGTTAGGAGTCTCTCCTATATAAACTCTATCATGTACTTCATCATTCAATGAGCAATATTAATTTTCCAATATTCCAACAGTTTCAAAATGGTGAGTGTGATGACCAAAAATGAGAGAGAGGGGAGAGAGAGGCATGGTAGGGTGGTCGTGAGGAGAGCTAGCAGAGAGAGATGAGATTAATTAGAGATTTAATACTATTTATGGGGTTTTTCTTTATTAATTAATTAATTACTCATATTTAGAGAAGTTTAAGTTTAAACTCTTATTTTGAGGATATTTTTAGGGGGTTTTCTTTTTGTTTTGTTCATGAAATCAAAGTGTTTAGGGATTGAGTAGGAATATGAACTTCCGTTCAAAACAAACAAAAATCCTATTCCTTGCGTTGAGAAGTAATTTTTCTTAAAAAATAATTTCCTACGACTTATGCAATCAAACATAAGAATGTATGATCGATTTTTTTTTTTCTTTGAAAAAACTTTATTCTCTAAACCAAAAAAATGGATCCTTAGAGTTAGAATTCAGAAGAACAGGAACTTATATTAGAGAAACTTAAGAAAAATTGTTGAGTCAAACAAAATTACGTGTTATCCCAATATCCCGTGCATTGAACAAGTTAAAAGACTATGGAGTAGTAAATAAAAAAAGGGTCATGCTACACTTACACCACAAATTATACCCCATTTGTACACCGCAGTTATACACAAACATTTTGATGGTTTACACCGACACAAGTGTTGGTGCGTTAACAAAAATTTACACGGACACAAAGTGTTGGTGCATTAACAAAAATTAGTTTTACACCAACACTTTGTGTTGGTGCAAAGCTGCGGGGTACAAAGTGGGGTACAAAAGTTGGGGTACAAATAGCTTAATCCATAAAAAAAATAAGTTTACCACACAATAATGACAATATGACGAGTCTATATTATCATCTTGTGTCAAGAAAACAACCAAAGCATTGTTTCAGGGTTTTTACCTATTCTGTCCTAGAGAGTCTATCTAGCGACCGTCTTCACCGCCGCCGCCGCCGCCGCCGCAGCTTCCATGCCCACCGTTAGCGTTGGAAGAGATCGGCTCTTTGAAGCTCTGGGTCGCACTTACAGTTAATTCTCGCTCGATCCCTATCTCTACATGTTTTGTGTACCCATTTCTGTAATTATTCATGGATATCCTTTTAACTTGTGTTTAATTTCAGCTGAAGATGAATTTGAAGCATTGTGTTTCGATTTTGGCATTGAGCTTGACGACGTAGTAAGTGCTATTTTCCTAAAACACGCATGTGTGGGCTTTGGGTTTTAGGCTCATTTTGCCCAATGTTGCCCTTTTTAAAAATTGTATATTCCCTACTTTCTTTTTGAAAGATTTAATCTGTTTTAAACCTCAATCACGATTGTTTTCATCTCTTGTTAATTCATTGCCTTCTAATTCTAAAACAATTTATTAATAAAATTTATTGGCTGTTGGTTACTTGCTGAATTTACTTTGTCATTGCAGACCACAGAAAAAGCAATTAAACGGAAAGAACAACATTTAGACGAAGAAGAAGCATCTGAAGATGAAGAGATTATATACAAAATAGAAGTTCCTGCTAACAGGTATTCATAGTTATATGAAAGTCTGTACTACTAAGAATGAACCAACTAAACTAAAATAGTTTTACAGTATTCATTTCAAATCATGAACCAAGTCTTAAAAGATGAGTGCTTTCACACATTTGTAGTTGTTAAAGGTTTTCTTTGTACCTATTACTGGTTACTGAATAAGATCACACATTGTAGAATCTTGTTTAAAATTTACTTCATGCTTCATTCCACTATTAGGCTGAAAATATAAATCCGAAGCCAGGAAAATTGACACTTTTTTCATTAAAATTTTGAGTACAGGTATGATTTACTTTGCCTTGAGGGGCTAGTTCAAGCCCTTCGCATTTTTAGTGGGCTTGATCCTATCCCTACATATAAGGTTGCAAATGTCAATGAAGAATCCATGCTAGAAATGCATGTAAAGGCAGAGGTATTACCTTTATAGACATGTATTCTTGCCCATGTTTTGTTCTTGTTACTGCACGTGGTGTAATAGTAACTATGAAAGTATATGATTATATGGTCAATATTGTTTTTTACAGACATCAAAAATACGACAGTATGTTGTTGGTGCTATTTTGAGGGGTTTAACTTTTGATGAAGCAAGATACGCTAGCTTTATTGATCTTCAAGATCGACTTCATCAGAATATTTGCAGGTAATGCTCATTTTATGAAACAATAGTTGTTTTACAAATTATTGGAGATTATAGTGTTAGTGGCTTTCTTCAGTTTTTCGGTTTGTTATCCTTGGGGGAATGGATAAGTATCAATTACTCCCTCCGCCCCTAAAAGAACTTCCCAAGTGAAAATCACAGGGGATTCAAGAAAAGGTTGAAAAGTGTTATCATTACGAAAATAAACTACTTTCTTTGCAAGGAATTAATTCCCCACTTTCTAAAACCTCTCATTTTTTAGATATGTGTTAAAAATATCATATAAGGCCTTCAAATGAATTCATCAATCTTTTGGTCCAACATCATAAGTTGTTTATTGAATATTGATAGTAGACAAGTTATTCTTGACAAACAAATCAAGAAAGTTGACCATTAAATCAGGGCGAAGAATTTCGATAAGATGTGAGGTACGAAGAACATAGTTATCAAGGCATCTCCTAGGTGTCTAGGCATTTTTATGGAGATGCCTAAGGCAATGAGGTGCTGGCCTTAGCCTTGCCTTAGGTCACCTCTCGCCTAATCTCACCTAAGGCGATGAGGATTTTTTTTTTAAAAGTAACATATGTTCTGTTCGTTTTTTCTATATATATATATACACATATATATGTATGTATGCTGTGTGTGTTGTGTGTGTATATATATGTGTATATATATACTTAGTATATATATATATATATATTTGTAGAGGTAGAGGTTGTTTTGTAGTGTGTTGTATTTGTTTGGAAGCTTCTGCTATTGCTTGTACTGGTTGCTTGTACTTGGTGCTTTATCTGTGCTATACTGTGTTCCCTTCCATATTTTTGTGCAGGTGGAGCCGAGGGTCTCTTGGAAACAGCCTCCCTACTTCCGAGTAGGGGCAAGGTCTGCGTACACACACCCTCCCTAGACCCTACTGTTGTGGGATTCAACTAGGTTGTTGTTGTTGTTTTATATATGTATGTATGTATGTATGTATGGATGGATGGATGGATGGATGGATGGATGCATGGATGCATGCATCCCAAATCGCCAAGGCAAATAGAAGGTACTCTGGCGCCACGCCTTGCCTAGTCATGGTAAGAACTATGACGAACAATGACCCGTTGTGGAGGAGTGAAAAAAAAACTTCCACGACTCACACAACCTCTACATGAACATTGCAACTCTAACCTAAATCACCCTTAGGCAGGTTTTGGACTGCTAACAGTGCCAAGTCCAATCTTAATTGCTCGTCTCATGTTCTTCACCGGCTGTCTCTCCTCTTGGTCCCCTCAGGCCCCAACCATGGTAGTAAACTTGTGATCCTATGTGGGATCAGGTAAGGAATTACAGCAGCAAACCGAGTATAATCCCCACTGCATTGGGTTCTAGTGGGTCAAGATGTACACAACCTTTCCCTGTATAACATAGAAGTTTCCTCTAGACCATAGTTATGAATGGCGTTCGCCTTTCTCGCCTATGGCGCTTATGGCGCTGTGGCGAGGCTGAAACGCCTGAATTGGGCCGTGCATGGCGTTCTTCTTGAGGCGAGAAAAGGCGGTCGCCATTCTTACAGTTTCCTATGGCGTCTGGCGAGCGCTTAAGTTGCCAGTAAGATCTATTAGAAGGCCTTAATTAAATTGGGCTTAAGCCCGTTTGAAATTAGATAATTTGATCCATTACCTTAAGTAGGTTACCTTAATCGATCCATCCCCTTCCAATCTTCCGTCTTTCATTGCCGATCTACTCCAAATTAACTGTCAAAATCGATTCTCCTCCCTCTCTCTGGAAGGTGACTCTGCTCCCTGTCTCTAAATCGGAAGTCTCAACTTCCCAGCTATTCATCTCGGTCAAGTCGCAGCCTCCAGGAGCTTCAGGTCTGTTGTTCTTTTTTTTTTTTTAGTTTATAAATATTACGGAGTATTCTTTTAGACTAATAGTTACCATTATATATTCAATTTGTGCTTTATTCTTTCAATTTAGAAAAAATACTGTTTCTTTTATTATTCTTTCTTTTTCAGTTTATAAATTTTATTCTTTTAGTCTAATAGTTACCACTAATAGTTACTGTTTTTTTTCTTTTAAAATATTAATATTATTTATTGTGTGTGTGTATATATATATATATATATTCGCTTTTTTTGGTTCGCCATTTTACCGCCCGCCACTCACCACGCCACTCGCCACAAAAAACATCTGCTCGCCCGCCACTCGCCACTCGCCATTCATAACTATGCTCTAGACCCTTGATCCATTGATGCATTTACTTCCCAAAACATCATATACATTAAGAAGAAGGGGAAGTTTGATTTTCCATTTTTATCTAGTTCATTATTTACCTAATGCTAAAATGTTGTAAAAATGACTCTTATCTCAACTCCAAGGGAGACTGTAAAAAATTAAAAGCCAAATGTCATTTTAGCTCTTCAATAATGTTTTAGCTTCTAACTTTTTTTTTTTATCTCTACTCCAACCATACCATCTATATTTTTTAATATTTTTATTATTTGATTTTATAAATTTATTTTATGAATCCAGACCCTACTCTCTTGGGATCCAACTAGGTTGTTCTTTATATATATTTTATGAATGTATTATTAAACCATAACATCTACAAAAAAATATGTTGAAATTCTTTTGGCAGCAATTTTGCAGAAACAAAAGCAAAAACCATTGTGAATTTTCCAGAAATAAACTTAACTATCAAAGATTTTGCTGGGAAAGAGAAAATTGTAGATCTACAAAATCTTTGGAATACACGGTTGTAATGTTGCATACGAAAATCCACAAGTTTTGCATATGGTTGTAATTTTGAATACGGTTGCAATTTTGCATTCAAAAATCCACAAGAATTCCAGTAATCTACTAACTCCGTTTCATAAACGGTTCCTATTTTGACTTTTAGGAGAAATAAAGAGTGTATATTTGTGATTGACTTTCCAATTTTGTCCTTGATGTGATGGATAAAAGTAAGATGTGATGGGTAGATTATTAGTGAAAAAGTATGATGTGATAGGCAGGGTAAGAAAAAGTAGTGGGGAAAAGTGGTTTTTTAATAGAAAGTTGAAGTTTTTTAGGGGAACAAAAGAAATGAATGAGGAAGTGTTTTATGAACGGGTGGAGTACATAACAATTGCAGATTTATAAAAAAAATATAATCTTCTGTAAAATTTTTTGTAAACAGAAAAAAAATTGCAGATCCATACCTTAGGGAAGCATTTTCCAATTCTTCGTCTTCTAGGGTTGGCGATGGAACGAAGAAGACAGCGAAGGAGATGAGCAGACCGGCTATTTCCACAGTAGAGTACCGTCTATTTTTTAAACCACACGTTGGAGAGCCAATTTTAAAAAAAGTAAAAGCTATACCTTTATTTTTTTAAGCTTTTACTCAATTTTAAACTATGCATTGGAGATGCTCTTAGCTTCATTAGTAGGATCAGTTAAGGAATAAGGAATTGATGATAGTAAGTCGTAAGATCGTTAGACATTGTAGATCACAAGCACACACACACACACTGCACACAAATACATATGCATGCAGACATGATTTAAATACATTCAGTACCATTTACATATAATGACATTTGATATCATGCATTCATAAATGGTAAGAAAAGCAAACAATTATGAAGTTTAAAACATATGTCTGAGTTTGCAATACAGAAACATGCAGAACCATAATACTTTGAATTAGTATCAAGAAAAAAATATAAATTTCAAACTAAAAAAGAGGAAAGAAAAATATCGGATTGCACAGAAGTTGGAGGCATATGAAGGACGGTGCATAGGAGATATTTATTATACTTGTACAACTTTTACTGCCAGGCAGAATGAATGTGTAAAAAGAACGCATACCTGAGTTCTATATGATTGCAGAAGATAAAGAAGAGAGTTAGAGAGAAAATATGAATCTGGGAGAATAAGAGAACTGATTCTCTTGTGTGCTTGATGTAACAGGCTTCTGGGTGGTTTCTTGGATGAGTAGAAGCCATTGTCAAAGATTACTAATACTACCGATTAACCTTACATGTGGAAGAGGTGTGACTCTTACTATCCCTGACATGTTTACTGCCAGAGAAGAATTTTACGAACCCGAAAAATTGGCGCGCTTCATGTGTCTACACGATGATCCTTGTAGTCTAGAGAAATTTTTGATTTTGATGGGGATCTGAACCGTAACTTCCTCCATGATGCGTAGAGTTGTGCAATTCTACGCCCTAGATCATGGTCTTGAATTCGACCCGACTTGTCGACTTAACAACCATGGTCTTGACTACCATACCTTCAACAAATTTGTTTCAGTTTGCCTTCTACAACACGATAAATTCATTTTAGTTTGCCTTCTCTTATTATATCGGTAACAGATATAGGTGGCTCAAAACAGTATACCTCATTAACTAAAGTAGATAGACCCTTTTTCTTAATTAGCTTTTCTTTTTTGTTGTTCTTCATGGCCTGCCTTTCCCCCTGGTTTCCTCAACCAAAAAGATTTGGTGTTGTTGCGTGTATACCTCATTAACTAAAGTAGATAGACCCTTTTTCTTAATTAGCTTTTCTTTTTTGTTGTTCTGCATGGCCTGCCTTTCCCCCTGGTTTCCTCAACCAAAAAGATTTGGTGTTGTTGCGTGTCTATGGCGGGCAGACATGACCAAATTATCAGTCTCCCATCTCTTTCTTTTTTTGTAATACACACTACCCCTAGATGGGAATGGAGTACAACATTCGGTAAAGAGATGATAAAATTTTAAATTGTACCTTTTATTAATTTTTCTATTTTGTTGCCCATGAGAAGTATATGCCTCCTTTTGTTTATTTTTATTATTCTTCTACTTAGAAGCTAGTTTAATTTTTAGAAATGGTAATACTTAGGCCAAGTTATCTGTGAATCTCATCTACTGGTTGTGATTGTGTTTGCCATTCCATGTTTAAGTCTTTGACTACTGAAGTCTTGAAATCTTATTCTTTAGAGGTTTTACACACTTTAGATTCTTGGTCTTTGTTTTTCTAGGCGAAGAACATTGGTTGCCATTGGGACTCATGACCTGGATACAATAGAAGCCCCGTTTACATATGAGGTATTTCAGTTTATAACTCTACAACATCAGCTCTATTCTCTCTGCCAACTTGTTTTATATTCACTACAGTTTACCAATAACTTAAATTTCCACTTGATTCGTCACATATGTAATTTCAGTGCACTTGGCTTCAAGATGTACAATTTGCAGCAGACAGTATACATAACTATTTTTCCTTTTAACACCATCTCCCTATATGATTGCCCAGCAACAATGATGTTCATCTCGTAGTTCTGCTCTTTTGGGTTGGAAAAGTAACTTCCAACTTTCTCCAACTCCTTGCAATATCACTGTTTCCAGTTTTTTCCAACTCTTTCCAGTTTTTTCCAACAATGACTTAAAAAACTTATTTACATATAATGACTTTGCATTAACACCATGTATCCAAATTTATAATTACCACCCCAAACACGGACAAAGGTGAATTCTTTTTAATCCAAAATTAGTGTTCTTACATATTTATTTGGGTGATCAATTAATTGAGTGATTTTTTAACATTTCATTTTTCCAACATTTTCCAACTCCTAGTTTTTTCCAACTTCTTCGAGTTTCTTCCAAAATCCAACTTTGGAGTTTCAACCGAAAAGAACAAGCCCTTATTGCTGATGTTCATCTCACAGTTTTTGCGCACTTATTTCAAATTTATTAGCAAACCATTTTTCTTTAAAAGCCATTGCAACTTGCAAAGAGAAATTTTTTGAGGTCACCCTTAGCCCTTAGGTTTAGGATATTTCTAAGAACTATGTAGCACCGAAACTGAGACAGAGACGAGAGTCACGAGACGAAACAGAGATGCTGAAATGGCTATTTTGAAAAAATGGAGAGACAAATTGCCGGGGAGACGCTGAATACATACACACACACACACATATAATGTTTAAAATTTATAATATGTGAATAATAAAAAAAAGTCATATATCATATTCATAATCCAAATAAACAAAAATAAGTATAAGGTCATTTTGTCCTATTAAAAACAACTAAAGGCTGGGAAGTGGTAAGGTGAGAGGGTGAAGTCTTTTATTTGGGTCATTTATATCTGCATTGGGAAAAAAAGCCCAGTGTGTGACTCTTCTCTTTCGATTAGTAGCAAGTTGCAGAGGAAAGAGAGTTTCTGGGAGAGGGATTGATTCAGAAAGGCGCACGACTCTTCTTTTATTCTCTTCGACTTTTTTTCCCGATAATAGCAGTGATCCCGATCAAAAACCCTAGTTCTGATCGTCAAGGTGCAGGCGTCTCCCACGCATTTCGGTGTGTCTCACGTCTTCGACACGGGTACGGCAGCCTACATGGAGTTCTCGTGCAACATAGTCTAATAATAACCCTGAGCCATACACGTTTCTGAAAATAACCCTAAGGTAGTTCAACGAACAATGAATAGTTAAACTCATATCATTGAACATAGTTCAACTCATTAGGGAGATATTGGTTCGAATCCAATTCAGACAACTCAAGCTTGGGCCTGCCTAGGCTAAAATTTTCCTGAGTTTCCTGAAAAGTAGTTGATGTTATCATTATTTTAAGAAGCACACATATGGGAGGCTCGTTATATGAAATACGATTTCATGATTTTTCCCATTAAAATCCTGTGTAAAGAAGTATAATGGGCGTAAAAATGTAGTATTGGAATATTACAATCTTTGAAAAAAGGAAAGACTTCCACATATGGTCATTGCCTTTATAAAACTTTAGTTTTGTGAAAGGGGCTGTTTTATGGGTATAAATGCTGTTTTTCTAGAATAATTTTCACAATGTTTTAGCTTCAGACAAATAATGGCCTAAATCAAGATGATTCTGTAAAATTTCCCTGCTTACATTCTATGTTGGGCAGTAAATGAAGCAATGCATCAAGGGTCTAATGGAAGCAACCTCTCTGTTTTTTCAGGGGTAAGGTTGCATACATCTTGATCCCTAGAGCCCAACGGAGTTGGGATTTTTTACTGGGGTTGTTGCTTCTGTTGTAATTATTTCTAATCAAGAAACTGTTTTTTTTTTCTTACTCAAATATTATTTTCTGTTTCAACTTTCAGGCTTTGCCTCCCTCAGAAATCAGCTTTGTTCCATTGAAACAGGTTGCTGGTCTTATTTATGTTTCTCAAGGGTATCTTGGTGCTCATGCAGTGATTCTAATATCTTTACTTGGTTTTTAATTCCCAGAAAGAGAGTTTCAGAGCTGATAAGCTGATGGAATACTACAAAGAGGTTGCCACCAGAACTTTGTTTCTCATTATCAATACATGCTTTTCAGTATCATGTATTATTTGGGATTTTTTTATTATTTATTTTCATGTCATTCTATAAGCAGTATCATCTAACACAGGTTCAGTTTCTCCAACATGCTATGTTAGATCTAAAATATTCTGCAAATGCTTGACATATTTGCAGCATGATCTTAAATTGAAGAAGTTTTTACACATAATTGAGAATTCACCAGTTTTCCCTGTTATATACGACCATAACAGGTATTTTGTTTTCTCTTTTCCTGTATTCAATTACTAATGGTATAAATGTATATATTTCGTAATCGTGTTTCATCTTACCGCACTGATTTATTTTTCCTTTCTATGCCATATTGCGTGTAGGCTACTGAGTACTGTTATTTGAAATATCTCTTCTTTTTGGTACTCTTAATTAAAACAATCTCACATATATGCGATTTTGTGCTCACTGAATTATCGTGGAAGTTTTCTATTTGTTCTTTTTTAATATAAATGTGCAAATCCTTATTTTAAGTGTGTTTGACCTTATCATGTTTTCCTGCAGAACTGTATTATCTTTACCTCCCATTATTAATGGTGCACATTCTGCCATTACCTTAAAAACAAGGAATGTTTTCATTGAATGCACAGCCACAGATTTGACAAAGGCCAATATAGTTTTGAACACGATGGTAGGACTCTGATTTCCTAGGATTGCTTATTGATTTATCATGTACTATTCTGTATATTTATTTTCATTCATTGTCATCTTTAATGTAGGTAACAAGCTTTTCAGCTTACTGTGAAAAGAAGTTTGAAGTTGAACAAGTTAAAGTAATATATCCTGATGGAAGATCGTATATTTCTCCGGACCTGTCACTATACCAAATGGATGTGCCTTTGTCATACATTAACAGTGTAGTTGGAGTATCATTGCCTGAAGATCAAGTACTTTACTCTGTTTCCGATTTGATCTTGTTACAACCCTACTATTTGTTTTAGCCCCAGATTCTTATCGTCAAAACAGATTAGTGGTTCTAATTTTGCCTTGTATTTAGCCCCAATGCTCATAATGCTTCATTTATTTTTTTTGGGATAAACATTCAATATCAGTTCTTTTCTATTACTAACTCCATTTTCTTATAGTTTTGTTGTTTCTTCTTAGGGAATAGCAATTCGTACTTAGTGACAGTGTATATTTCATAGCTGACCATCCATTTGATGTTAGACTTGATTGAGGAATTTTGATGAAGATGTCAGAATTGTGTTTAAAATAATAATGATACAGATTAAACTTGGTTTTTTAGTCATAATATTTTGCTACCATTTCCTGGGTCGTTTCTTATTTGTTACATGTTGATTCTACGGTACATATTTAATAGTTTAATTGTTTCCCTAAAATATCAAGTAAAAACAAGAGCGATTGTAGTCAAATGTTATTTTTTTGTTCTAGAAAATATATGCTAAAAATTGCAGATTAGCAGATGGCTGACTGATGTCATTTCAGGTAGCAGATCTATTGCATAAAATGCAATTGCATGCTAAGAAATCAGTTTCAGAAAAAGAGGAAGTCAAGTTTATTGTTTCTGTTCCCCCAAGTAGAAGTGATGTTCTTCATGCTTGTGATGTGGCTGAGGTACTTGTTCTGGCATATTTCTGATAAAAGACCCCGTGACTCCCGTTTCTATCTCTAATGGACATATTATTATTGTCCAGGATGTTGCAATTGCTTTTGGCTACAATGATATTCCAAAAAGAAAGCCTGCATCTTTGAAGCCCCTCTCTCTTAGCCAACTAAGTGATCTAATTAGAATGGAGGTAATCATGGCATTCATGTTTTCAGCCTTTCATTTGCATTGTTGAAATTTATGGCCATGGGTCTTTTGCAAGCAGCTAGTCTACCTTTTTAGGTAGGGGTGAAGTCTGCATACACCCACCCCGCCAGACCCCATCGATGGGATTGGCTGTTTCTGAAAGTCTCTCTACCTATTTAGGTAGGGGTGAATTCTGCGTACACCCACCTTGCCAGATGATAACAAGGCAGCCATTATTGATGACAATAATGGCCGGGGGTCTTTTTGAAACAATCTCGCTACCTTTTAACGTAGGGGTAATGCCTGCATACACACCCATTCATGGGATTTTACTGGGTTGTTGATAGCAGCTAGGCAGTTTTATAATCCTATTAAATGAATTAATACCACATACAAAATCTCAAGCCACCTTTCCAGTGATATGGATGCATGGTTGTGTCTGTTAACAAAAATCTTATCATTACATATTTCAGGCCTTCAATGTTATGTAGTGCATGTTGTGTGGTGAACTTGTGATATCAGTCATCATCACTGACTTTTGATCATGTATTCAAACACCATCCTTTAATCTAATTGTCTTTGTGGTCATGGATTCAAACTCCATTGCTTCCAGGGATGTGTTTACTCCTTTGCAGTATCCACATCATTCTTTCTTCATTTCGTTCCTGCCCCTTGGCTCTTGAATGTATTGTCAATCTAATAATCTTTTCTACATTGCCATCCTGCAAATTTCCACTGAAGTAATACGACTGCTTTCGTGTATGCCTGACCTTGAACACATGAACCCACTGCATCCTTAATCCTTGTGTGGACTTTAATTTCCCCGACCCATAATGCCGAAGAATTATCAACGATCTATTTCATACTCCCCAACAGTTTGTTCTGTTATTGGATAGTTTGTTCTAATTGGCAAGGCATAATGTAAATCTGTGCATGCCTACACAATCTTTGCATGCCTACACAATCTGCACATCATGTACTATATACCAATCTTATGTGCAATTCATTTAGGTATCAATGGCTGGTTACACAGAGGTGCTGACGTGGATATTGTGTTCTAAAAGAGAAGTTGCCTCCCTGCTGAGGCGTGGAGAAGACAATTCAGCAGCTGTACTTGCAAATTCTCGCACTTCTGAATTTGAGGTTAGTTAATTGTCTGTACACTCTGTAGTCTTCTACCGTACAACTGAAACTTGAGAAAATCGAAACACTTACAACTGCTTGAGTTGTACTGGATCAAGCTTTCCATTATTACATATATAGGAGAAAAGGAATCTTTAACAACAGCTCTGTAGTAGGCTTTATTTGATTATTTTCACTAGTAGTATTCAAAGAATATGCCTGATTTTCCTAAGCATCATAATGCCTAAGCCTGAGAAGTTTGAACAATTGCTCTCCTTGGAGGCCGGAGGCTCATACATCTGTTTTTTGTAAACATAGAAAAGTATACAAAAGATGTTATGTGGAATTGTGGATCATGCTTTTTGTACTCCGTATTATAATATATAACCATTAACCAGCTAGTTTTTACTCTCCTTCAAGTAGTAATACCTTAATACTGTTAGGGGCAGCCTCGGGTTTGCTACATGATAAAGTATTGATGAACATAAAGGGATGTAACAAGTGAGGTTAGAGGTGGCAATCGGATCAACCGGATCGGTTTCGGGTTGGATTTTTTCGGTTCGGATATCTTTCGGTTATATGTTATAATCGGTTCGGTTCGGTTCGGATCGGTTAAATTTCGGTTCGGATTTGATTTCGGTTCTATACATTTTTCGGTTCGGTTCGGTTTCGAGTCGGTTCAGATACGATTCGGTTATAAATCGGTTCGGATAGATTTCGGTTCGGATACAATTTGAGTCGGATATATTTCGGTTTCGGGTCTAGTTCGGTTCGGATATATTTCGGTTTCGGATCAAATATATTTTGGATATATATTATTTTCTAATTAAAATTTAACTATCCGTGTTTCTTTTTATGTTTTATCACATTTATCAATCTATCATCAATTCAATACCTCATATTATTTTAGTTTTTTCTAGTTATATTATCTATACCCTAAATAATCTTCCCTTTTTGACTTTTTAGTCATATTTTACAAATTTGGACTACAAATTATGAAAAGATATATATTTAATTATGATATAAATTTAATATAATTAAATTGATTTTAAAATTTAGTTTTGAAATATAAAATTTTTCTCACATATACTAATATACTCATTTATATAAATGAAAAGATAAATTCAAATAGTCTTATGTTCCATTTGAATACAGTTTGGTAAAAATTGAGTAAAATTGGGTGAAATTAAGTGAATTTTATTCAATTGAGTGCAAAATTTGTAAATTTTTGAGTATATTTGGTTGAAAATAGAGAAAATTAAATTTAATAGAGTCAAATATAATTAATTTTACACCTAAATGTAATGGTGTAGATCAAATTTGAAAATGATAACAGTAAAGGCTGCCGCTAGAGAGTCTTTTCAAAATGCTAACACTAGCATCTAATTTTATTGACTAATATTGAATGAATTGGTTTGAAACTAGTCAAATTAACTCTCAAATCAATAAAATTTATTGTAATGAGATGAAATTAGGATAAAATCTAGTTATTCCATACAATTCATCATATATTTCTTTCGTCCCAAAAAGAATATCACACTTCACTATTTAAAAATTACAGAAATTTTATTTGTTTGTGCGTTATCATTTATATGTATAACTTATCTTTAATTTCTACATATAATAAATTTAAGGCATAAAACTTTGTACTTTTTTTCAAGAAGATAATCCATTTTAATTTATGACCGAATGAGCAAGTAATGTAATTAGTTCAAATGGTAAAATAAAAGTAAAAATTTAAAAATATATTATGCTTATTGAAAGGCAAACATAGTTCTGAATTTATCGATTTTAGTTCTAATCGGGTTCGGATATTATCTGTTTCAGATCTAATCGGTTTCGGAATTATCGGTTTCGGGTATTATCGGGTTCGGATCTAATCGGTTTCGGGTTTAATCGGTTCGGATATTATCGGTTTCGGATCTAATCGGTTTCGGATTTAAATCGGATATGAATTATTTAGTTCGGTTTCGGTTCGATTCGGATCATTTCGGATTTTCGGTTATAGATCGGATCTTCATTTTTTGGGTCATTCCGGTTTCGGTTTCAGATATTTCGGTTCGGGTAATCGGTTCCGGTTCTGTTTTGCCAGGTCTAAGTGAGGTGCATAAAAGCATTTAGGTTTTTGTTGATTGGCTTTTTATCTTAACATTTCTCCCAAAGGCTGTTGGTGAAAAAAGTAGTTTAATTCCATGAAGTAAATCAAGCTATGTTTGACTTGGTTAAACATATCTGAATAGGTTAGTTGAAAATGAGTACTCTTAAGAAAGTTGGATTTATGGTTGTCTGTGTGGCTTTGCCCTCCTTCCCTGTATTTGGAGAAACTAAATCTATCATAAGTTTTAATTTTGAAAATGTGTACCTCTGTTCATTTGTTCACCATGGTCTGTTGGGGGGTTTTGAAGGCTAATTGTAAAAGGTTCTAGTTTTACTTGTTAGGCTAGTTTCCTTTCTGATTAGACACCATCTCAAGCTAGTTCCTTTACCCCTATCTAGCCCCCCTGCAATTTTTATTTTATTATGTGACATTTTACTCATGTTCCCAATTTTTTCCGGTCATATCTTTTTCAGGTTGCAAGAACATCTCTAATGCCAGGCATACTAAAAACAGTTGGACACAATAAGGACCATCCGAAACCTATGAAGGTATAATGAACTTATCTGCTGCTGATTTCCGTATCTACTTTCTTTTCTTTGTCATGTGGTGCTACTGACAGTTCGGTAATGTGAGGACAAGGTCATAATTCTCCACTATGAATTTGGTGCTGTTCATTTTATCCAACTTATTTGAACTGAATTCAGTTAATTGATGTAACGCATGAGGTCTACTTTACTTCTTTTCTCAATTATCCGTCTCAGAACGCGATTCGGTTTCCAAAACCGAGGTGCAAGGCACAAAGCAGAGGGGCACACGTAACAGAATTGAAGCACACCTCTTTGATAAAAATTATAAAATGCATTTATCACTTGTACATGATCTCTTGCAATCGAACAAAATAATACCCTACAAATAACCAAATTAAATGAAACATTCGAACAGTCAAGATAAAGAAGAATTAAATGTACAAAAAAAATGTACAAGTAGATACATAGCCTTGTGTATATCATTTAAAGTACTCTTGTAACTAGATTGGTTATAACAATTCTTTTGTTTGGCTGTGTTTAACTGCTAACCAGACCAAAAAGAAGAAATTATCATATGAAATTACTAAATAAACTATACTTCAAAGTAGGATTTAAGAGCTCACCGGTTGCAGTATTCAGTATTCTGTAAGCTATCTTACTATGCTTGGTATTGAGTTGTACTAGTTGATGAATTAAGCCCTCATTATGCTTACATGGCTACACTTAACTGCTAATCTGGTATATAAAATAAGATTTTCAAGCGAACATGCGTAAAGCATATATTTGAAAGAACTACCCCCTTTTCTTATGAAAAAATTGTTCCTGACAGTGAGACTCATAATTTATTGTTTAGTTTGCGTTTAGTACTCTTAACATATTTTCAGGAATTGGGTTCAATGCACAGTTTTGTTGCATACAAATCATAGTACATAGTTAACTGTTCACATGTTTTAAGGTTGTTACAGTTTGAAAAATGTGAAGTGTATGTAATAGGACCTTAAACACTTCGGTGAAATAAAAAATGGGACATCATATCATAGTATCGTACTTCGTGTGTTTAGGAAGGGAGTTCAACTCAACAGTATTTATTCTGTCTAATTTTTTTGGATGTAATGTAAACATTGTCGCTTTAGATATTTGAAGTTGGTGATGTAGTCCTTGTAAACAACACCAAGGATGTTGGTGCTCAAAACCATCAGAATCTTGCTGCGTTGTATTGTGGAGCCAACTCAGGATTTGAGGTATGAATTCCTATGAATTTTCTGTATTTAGCTTTCATTTAAATGCCATTAGTTGTCTCTCGTGTATGTCTCCCACATTGTCCTTGTCTTACTCTCCTTAAGATAGTGCATCAGGGACGCCTATCAAATCCCTATATCTCTGAATCACTTTATCTTTTGCAGCTAATACATGGTCTAGTTGATAGAATAATGGAAGTGACTGGATATTCATTTGTGTCGCATGGTGATACCTCAGGCTACTACATTGAAAGTTCAGATGTAAGTATACATGTTTCCATTTGACGTTTTCTTTTTAGTTTTAATTTTGTTTTTGTCTTTAGAAAGCACTCCATACTAACCCATATTAATTTGGCATAGTAGGAGCCTGAACTGCTTCAAGGAAGACAAGCCAGTATCATTTGCCAAGGAAAGCACATAGGGAACTTTGGCATTGTGCATCCAGAGGTACATATGTTTTTGGGGGTGGGAGGGGGGGGGTATTGGATATTTGGATTGGTGATTTTCTTGGACATAATTTAGGGTATGTCTGCTGGATCACAGAAAATACGAGAGATGAAAAATGCAAAGGAAAGTTATTTTCATGCAACTGGTTGTACATGGAAGCAAAGGAAAATGAATAATGATTAATGTTTCAAATATTTTACAAATAATTGTTTTTTATTGACTTTAACTTAATTTTTTAAATTCCCTACCCCCACGCTTCTCGTCTCTATTTTCTCTCAATATTTTCTGAATTCCAAACGAACCCTTAGTTGTGTCACTTGCGTACTTTAAACTGTGTACATTGTAGTTTCTGTTAGCTTCAGCATTTGCATATAAGTATCTAATTACCGTTGACACTATTCTTCACTCGCATGTGGTGGATTCAGGTCCTTGCAAACTTTGACATTCCTGATCCTTGCTCCTTTGTTGAGCTCCACTTGGAGAAACTCTTCTAGTTGCCGATCTGTGTTTACCAATCAGGCGGCGTCAATTGAGAATGGCCACAACTGAGACTTCACATAGAGATCTTTCTTTGTCTGCTGTAATTTGTTATTTTGGATACTAGTAAGCTTTTTGCATTTCTTTAACTTTAATGCATCTTTGATGTTGTTTTGTTTTATACATCAATTGATCAACCTTAACTTGGTAAGTTTTGAATGAGATTGGTTGTTCAAATTTGTATTAGACATGAAAGAGAAACAATGGATTTTGAACGGAGCTCTTTTCATATCATTTGTTTGGAATTCTGCCCAAATATTCGTTTTATATACTCCCTACGTCCAAAAATTTCTTTCTCACTTTTCTTTTCCGTCCATTCATAAATTTTCTTCCGGTATCTTTATTTGTTAAGTTTTTATGTGTAGAATCTCTTAACTACCCTTACAAGCTTCCACCCACCCCAATTTCCTATCAGACCACACAGCCACATATTTTTACTTTCATCTTCCCAAATCTTCCTTTTCATTTACCAACATCATTCTCATCTCTAAATTCTCTACTCCATATTCATATGAACCACATTGTCACATCATATTCTCTAGTCTTCATTGTGAATCTCTCCAATCCACACCACCCTGTTCATCGAAGAAGAAATGGCCTTTGTCAATTTTCAGATCTACAGATCTCTGTCAGATTTGAACAGGTCTTCATCCACACATTTCCCTTTGTTTCCCTTTTTTGATCTCTATCGGCGGCTATCCCTCCTTCAGATTTGAAGAGATCTCCATTGTATTGGTGTCCTCCATCAATTTGGATTTGGTGGAAGAATAAGGGTGTGAAGTCTTCATTGTTGTTTTTTGGTGTCTTCAGCGTCAAGCTATAGAGGATGAACAATGATTTGGGTTGGGTGGCAAGGGATGCCGGAGTCTGGGTCGTCGGCGGTGATTCACTGGTTGGAGTCTGGGTCGCCGGTGGGTCACTTGATGGACTCTATTTTGGGGCAGACAGTTGGGTTTGGGCTGATGGGGTCTTGGTGGACTGTGCTAGGGAGTGGAGGGTAGTATTGGATAATGTTTACTTTTTTCTTCAAATGCGTGTAAAGTCAAAGTAGGAAAGAGATATTTAGACGGAGAGAGTATATATATTTTGTTGAGAGAAACATAATTTTATACGAAGTAAAATGATAAGGTATAAGGTGAGGATTAGAAAGGAAAGTAAGGCTCTAGGACTTATTTTTGCTACATATTACTTATTCTTAATAAAATCAGATAAGATTAGACCTAACCAGATCAAATCTAATCAAATCAGGCCAGATTCAATCAGATTAGATCAGATCAAATCTAATAATATCAAATCACGAAAAAATATAAAAAATAATATTAATATTTTTTCAAGGATTAAATAATAATTACATTACTTTATTTAAAGCTACACACCTAAATCTTAATTAATATTAAAATTATAATTATTTTTATTATAATTATTATTATAATTCAACTAAAAACCATCATTACTAGTAATTTCTTAGCTTGTAGGAATGATGCATGGAAGCAATTTTAAGGCTTAATAAGTTGTAATTTTCATACTCTAATAAAGCTATTTTAAAATACTTGTTCATATAAGAATAATACAAAAATTCGTTTCTAAAACCACAAATACTTTATAGTTAAAAAGACTCACTTTTAAACTTAAAAAATGGTTTAGAATACACAAGTAGAGTTGGCAATCGGGTCAACCAGATTGGTATCAGATTGCATTTTTTTTTTGTTCGGATATCTTTCAGATATATGTTATAATCAGTTCGGTTCAGTTCGAATCGGTTTAATTTTGGTTCGGATTTGATTCGGTTCTATACATTTTTTTGTTTGGTTTCAAGTCAGTTCAGATACGGTTCAGATAAATTTTAATTTTGGATTTAGTTTGGTTAGGATATATTTCATCTTCGGATATGTTTCAGTTCGGATATATATTGCAATCAAATATATTTTGATATATATTATTTTATAATTAAAATTTAATTATCCATGTTTCTTTTTATGGTCTATCACATTTATCAATCTATCATCAATTTAACACCTCATATTATTTAATATTTTTTTTCTAATTATATTATCTCTACCATAAATAATCTTCCTTTTTTGACTTTTTTGTAAAATTTTACAAATTTGGACTACAAATTATGAAAAAAATATATATTTCATTATGATAAAAATTTAATATAATTAAATTGATTTTAAAATTTAGTTTTGATATATCAAATTTTTTGACATCTACTAAAATATTTATGTTTCGAAATGAAAACTTAAAAGATAAATTCAAATAGTATTGTACTCCAATTGAGTACAATTTGGTAAAAATTGAATGAAATTGGGTGAAATTAAGTGAATTCTATTCAATTGAGTGCAAAATTTTTAATTATTTGAGTGTATTTGGTTGAAATTAGATAAAATTAAATTTAATAGAATCAAATATAATTAATTTTATACCTAAATGTAATGTTATAGATCAATTATGGAAATGATAACACTAAATGCTGCTGCTAGAGAGTTTTTTCAAAAAACTAACACTAACATCTAATATTATTGACTAATATTGAGTGAATTCGTTTGATACTAATCATATTAACTCCCAAACTAATAAAACTTATTGTAATTGGATTAAATTAGGATAAAATATAGTTATTCTATACTATCATATAATCCTTTCTTCCCAAAAAGAATATCACACTTCAATTCACTATTTAAAAATTACGGAAATTTTATTTGTTTGTGTCTTATCATTTATTATTTCATAAAATAAACTATTATTCTTGTAAAATCTTATTTTGTAAAACTCTTGACTTATTTTTTAAATATGTAAACATTTTTTTATTTTTATACCAATCTTTTAATAAAATAAATTTAAAAAACTTTAAATTTTTGCTTTGTTTTGCATTATGTTGCATTCTTTCTCACATGTAGGGAGTTTTTCTTCAAAATAAGATTGTTCTAATTAGATTTTGTAACTTAAAACTGAAATTAATACTGTATTTTTCATATAGTCTCTAATCAAAGACTTAATTTTTTATGTCTCAATTTCCACTCACCTTCAACTCTTAGACCTAGTTTTTTCAATTGATGCTTCACCTTGTTTTTCAAATATTGTATTCCCTTTAATTTTTTTAATAGCAAAATAGTTGGCTCACTTTATTCATCCAATATTTTATATGTATAACTTATTTTCAATTTCTAAATATAATAAGTTTAAGGCATGAGATTTTGTAATTTTTTTCTCAAGATGATAATCTGTTTTATGAGTGAATGAGCAAGTAATGTAATTAATTCAAATGGTAAAATAAAAGTAAAAATTTAAAAATACAATATGCTTATTGAAAGGCAAACATAGTTTTGAACTTATCGGGTTTAGTTCTAATCGTGTTCGAATATTATCGGTTTCAGATATAATCAATTTCAAGTTTTATCAGTTTTGGGTTTAAGCAGTTTGGATATTATCGGTTTCGGATTTAAATCAGATATGAATTATTTAGTTCGGTTTCACTTTGGTTCGGATCATTTCAAGTTTTTTTGTTATAGATCAGATCTTCATTTTTCGGGTCATTTCGATTTCTATTTTAGATAATTCGGTTCGAGTAACCAGTTCCGGTTCTGTTTTGCCAGGACTCTACAGTCTACACAAGGGTGAATTTATGACAAGATTGGTAGAGGTGAACGGAATATTAGTGTTTAAAATTTTATGTGATGTGTAATTTGTAACATGCAATATATTAATATGTAATAGGCAGATAGATTGTGATATTTTTGTAGAATAACATCCATATTTTCTAATATTTGGTTATTTTTATGCCAAGTTGTAATGCACGCCCTCACTATATCAATAAAATTGATTATTTAGCTTTTACTTATAGAGATTAAAAAATTAGTGATATTGAAAAGATATTTAATATTTTAAAATGTTAAAATATATCAATAATCAGCTATAGTCAACGATTTTCTTATTTTAATTTTTTTAATGTATATATGAATTTTAATACTTTAAAATTATTAAATTAGTTTAATAATTTTAAGTTTAATTTAAATTAAACTTTAAATTCATTTACACCAGATCTAGTCAGAAAAAATTAGATACAATCAGAGATTCAATCAGATCACATCAGGCATAATCATATCATATCAGAACTTCAAAAATTCAGATCAGATCAAACAGATAAGGCTTACGAAACAAAGCCTAAGTGATGAGGGCAAAATCCCAAAGAAACAAGGTTAAAAGAAATTAAAATGGCAAAGATCAGCCTCCGGTGTGGTTGGAACATGAGTGATGGTGGTTAAACCTGGCAAAACAGAACTTGAATCAATTGCCCGAACAGAATGATCTGAAATTGGAACCACAATGATCCATAAAGTGAAGATCTGATTTATAACCAAAATTATCTAAACCAAAGCAAAACCAAATAATATATATCCATACTCGATTAAATTAAAATCCAAAATTTATTAGATCCGAACCTAGCTAATTCAATCTGAAACCGAACCAATTCAAAATTGATAAGACCCGAAACTGATAATATCCATAATTGATTCTACGGGATTATATTTATGTACATTAGTGAATAGTTATATTCACGCGATTTCAAATTTTCTTTTTTTACCATTTGAACTAGTTACAAACTTATATTACTTACTCCCTACGTTTCAAAATGAATTACCATATCTAAACAAAATATAAAATTTCATATCTTTTAAGTATATTTGATTTATAACTTAGTATAAAATGAACAATGCAACTTACACAAAAAGTTTAGTTAAACTTTATAGAAACTAGAATACAATTAAAAATATATTCTTCCACCCCCTAAGTATTGTGTGGTTGGCCAAACATGTGCTTTGAATGTAATTAATTTCACTCAAAATTTATCTATTTGCATTAAATTTCACTCAATTTCAGTATATTTTAACCAAATTATATGTAATTTGGAAATCCAATTATATTAATGTTGTATAAGAAGTAAATATACTTTTCTTTCATAATTCGTAATCCAAATTTATAAAATATAACTGAAAATATAAAATGGAAGATATTTAGGGTGGGGGAGTATAATAAAAAGAAATAGAAAATAAAATGAGGTGATGAATTAATGATAGATTGATACATGCAATATGATAAAAGAAATGAATGGATAATTAAAACTTAATTAGAAAATAACATATATTGTAGAATTTTGGGAAAATAACGTTCTCGACTTTTCTGTTGATTTCCACAAGTATATATAGAGTACATAGACTATCTACACATGACCCGATAATAACAAGAAAATGCCCAATACACGTAAACACAAAATACAACAAATATGGGTCAATTAACACTCCCCCTCAAGTTGGCGCGTGAATATCGTGAACGCCCAACTTGGACAGTAAGAACTGATACGCCGGTTTAGACAGTGCTTTAGTGAACAAATTTGCAATCTGAAGACGAGTAGGCACATAGTATGTAGAAACCTCCCTGCGCTGAACACATTCGCGAACAATGTGACAATCGATATCTATGTGCTTCATGCGCTCGTGAAAAACAGGGTTGGCGGCAATGAATAAGGCCGACTGATTGTCACAAAATAGACGGGGGGTAGGGACGATCGGCACTCCCAAGGCCGTGAGCATGGACTTAGCCATCGAATCTCAACGCATGCATTAGCCATTGCGCGGTACTCAGCCTCAGCAGAAGAACGAGAGACGGTGGTTTGCTTCTTAGTTTTCCAGGACACAGGAGAGCCACCTAGAGTAATGAAATAACCACTCACAGAACGTCGAGTAACAGGGAAGGTCGCCCAACCCGAGTCACAGTAGGCCATGATTTGCAGATTGCTATCACGTCTCAACAAGATTCCTTGATCTGGGTGCCCTTTGATGTACTTGAGAACGCGCATGGCGGCAGCGAGATGGTCAACTGGTGGTCCGAAAGTGGTGAGATACAAAGTCTAGAGGGGAGATACAAAGTCTAGAGGGGGGGGGGGGGTGAATAGACTTTGTTACAAATTTAAAATCTTTTTCGTTTCTTTTGAAAACGTGAAAATAAGTGTTAATCTAGAGTTCTTGAGAACTTTAGATTGTGTGCGGAATTTGGTGGGTAGAGTGAGCAGTAATCAATATGGATGGGTTAGTTTTCACAGTTAATATAATTGTAAGTAAGAGTGAAGATAAAAGAGAGAGAGACACGCAAACTTTAACGAGGTTCGAAGGTGGGGTAATCCTTCTACGTCCTCAAAATCCACTATGTAGTTGGTTGTTGAATAATGAACCAACAATTACACTTGTGTGAATTTCTGCAAGGTATATCTTCGCAAGACCAATGTTGCTACTGCACTCGTGCTGGCTTTGTTGTTCCTTCGAAGGTCACGCTTCTTCAACAACTGCAAGATCCGAACAATAGGACTTGAAAGATCAACTTGTAAGAAAGTTGACCTACCCCCTTTTTAATCAAGAAGTTTGATAAAAAAGTTGTATCCTTCAACGTGGTGTGGTACTTGAGGCAAGGAAACCTTCAAGTGTTTACACTATAGCTCTTTGGAAGGAGGAGGAGTTTGCTTCTGGATAAGGAGTTTAGAAATCTCTCTTTATCAAGCTTTTTGGGCTAACTGTGAATGAGATATCTTTGTTTTAGATTGCTTCATTGTGTTGTTGTATCAACGTATCTCATTCTTCATATCTTCTCCAGTCTTCCAAGGATGCTATTTATAGCTGGATTGGATAATCTATCCGTTGAAT